TTGAGTAATGTAATATTTCACTGCATGAAGACTACTAAATGAAAATGCTTTATTTTTATGGACCTCCTGCGACGAAATTAGGAACTGTTTGCTTTTCTGTGGCCTGACACCTTTTCAACGTTTGTCGATACACAAAAATGCTCAAGGTCTTGGGCTCACTTTAAGTAAACGGACGATAATGGTATGTTTCATTAGCTTTTAAAGCTGGATAAATCATTTCTAAAATAAGTGAAAGCCTCCCACACATAGGGTCATAGTTTGCATGCCATAAACCGCGTGCGACATCTTAAATTCTGTAATGGAAAGGCCCGTGAAACCAAAAAAAGAGTTATTTGCGGGGCGTCATTTTTAGTGGTTTTGCTTTAAATAAGATAAAAAGCAGTTTCGAAAATATGATATTGTTCAAGAATAAAATCAACTCACTGAACTCAGTTTAGAACTTCAAATCTGTAGTATATATTCATATGTTTGAGGCCATATTGTTGAACTAATATTCATTTGTGACGAAAACAGCCTTTAATTTAATATGGAGAAATAACAATGAAAGATCAGTATAGCATATTTATTATTTTGGTCAATTTAAAGAAAATTGCAACAAAGGCATAACATTGAATATAAGATTTTCCACATTCGGATTAGATTAAATAGAGTCAGATACTTTTCTTATGCCTAGTGCTTTAATGGCTTTTTATGCACGGTTGCAAAACTGACTGATGTCCTGGTGTCATAAAAAAAATTAATTTAAAAGAAGTTTATTACTGAAAAATTCCAGTACATAATGATGTATTGCTGCAGAGTATACGCAAAAAGTCTAATGACAAATTAGTTTTTTTTTTCAAAGAATGACATTTACACAAGAAACATAGACAAAAATCAGTTGTATTTACTGTCATCAAATCTTGCCACGAAAATGGTGTTACGAAACACAATACCGGTGAAAGGTAGCACATTTTTCTTCATAAGTAGTTTTAGTTATTTAGGTAGGTGGCTTTTTGTGTTTGCATTTCTTCGACAAACTGTATATGTATACAAAACGCAGCTGTTGAGTTGTCCACTCCATTAACTTAGGTACGTAAAGATGACAATGTGATGTACAAATTGGTCCATATCTCCCTCTATGCGGCTTATTCCTATATGAACTGTCTTCATCGTGTTTTAGACGTAAAGTACAACAGACAGGTTTTATATATATATCAAAATTTTATATGCCTGTTATTTATCATTTTGAAATAAAAAATACAATGAAAATTATTTTATTTCTCATATGTTATCGCCGAGTTTTATTTAACGAGGCTAGGAAAATTCACGATTACGTAATGTATCACGGTAGGTAACGATCCTAGATCCCATACATCCTACAACTATCTGTGATACTTAGACAAACATTGCGATAATTTAAATCTGTTGAGCTGTGACGATTAATACCTAATGTTGCTGTTTTTGTGTCGATTGTTATTTTTTGAATTTTTCAAGAATCACAAACCACAGATGCGAGCTACTTTGAAACTACTCAACTAGTACGGATTACAGATACAAAACAACAGATTTTCTCGATATCAATGACTTCATCGTTATCTAGAAACGCAATTAGCAATTTTGCATCTAGCATATTCAAAAAATTCTTTACCAAATCATATTAAAATGAGGCGCTCCAGAAGTGTGTGTACCGATATGGAGGTAACTTATTTCCTTCGCCTACATTACATCAAGTTGTTTAAAGTGACTGAAACCTATGGGCAGGGGGTATTCACTTCGCTAACACAGACAGTCTCCGAACTCGTAATAGAAGTAAAATAAGAAAAATCGGGATAAAATTATGGCCTAACCCGAACCTGGTATACACACTACGGGAGGACCAAAAATGGTACAACAAATTGGTTGTAAAACAAAAATAGGGCCTCCTGGAGTATGCGCACCAAGATGGCGCACAGCCTGAACATAGTATGTGTACCAGGTTAGGGTTCAGGTTATGCGACATCTTGGTGCGCATACTACAGGAGCACCCAAAAATGAATATTAATATAAGAAGATGTCATGTAAACGTCTATGCTTCAAAATTTATTTTTAACTTTCAATTCGTATTTGCAAAGCGAACATATATTATACTTGTCTAGTTCAGACATGAAACAATAAACACTGCCGTTCTAAAAACATCATTATATAACTAAATGCATACTGACTTTAGAAAATATCGTCAAATGTGTGAAAACAGGTGTGAAATCTTTTCATCAGTTTACTTTGGCATTTTGTACTTTGATAACAGAATTTTAATGGCAATGCCTTTTCACCGCACAAAAACAAACTTCACACCTTTAGGAGAAATTATTTCGTATAATTGTCTTTGACAAAGATCTAAAGAATATATAGAATTATTTCTTATATAACCTATATACCAATCTTACTATTAAGATTTTCCGAGAACAGTCTAGATCCTGCATGTGTTAATTTTGTTGAATCGCGTATGGGCTTGCATCTCAAGAATTGTATACCCGGCTTTCAAAATTAATTAAAAATTTTACTGTAATGTGAGGTATATGTTGTTGCTTATTATGTAAAGACAACTTTGGTTTAAGAAGGGTTAAAATGTTATGGTTTCTTCGATTTATTGTATCAAAGAACGTATATGTTGATTTTTTAAAGTGTGCACGCGATTGTGTCATTATACAAAGTCTATTCAAATTTGAAAATTATGGTTTCGATAGATTAGATAGATATACAAATTTTTATAAAGTGAAATAAACATAAAGAATGCTTTTTAGTGGATAATGTTTTTAACCTATTCTAGATGTTTTAATTTGCCAACAACTTTTTTGCATATTTTGTTTGGAATTACAGAGGAAAAACGTCATCATATACCAATTTTATTATTTTTATGATTATCTACAGCAAAATTATATAAGAACAAAGAACAAAATTTTTTTCCTGGCAGTTGAAAATAAATAAATATATATTTGCCTCAAAATTGAATTAATTAAATATTTAAGTATATATTATTTCTTTGTGTTAGAGCGTTTTATGATTTATATGAAGCACATTTTTGTCGATTTATAAATTTTGGCAGATGTACATTTAATATTGCCTAAGTGTACACAACACTTCAGAAGATTTATCTTTCAAAATGACAACCGATGGTAAATAATAACAACACATGTCAAGTTTTGTGTTTTGATAAAATCGATTTGGGTCTAATTTTGTCGAGTATGTATATTTTTATTTACTTTTGATATGAAGTGGGCATGAAAATCTGGCAAATAAGGATTTTCCAAGGTTTGATGACAAAACTTCGTATTTGCATTAAAAAATAAACGGTAAAACAATGAAAATATCTAGGTCATTAATTGTTAACAAACAAGTCACTGTAGTTATACTGCTTTCCAATTTGTGAAGTAATTAAATAGGGACATTTTAAAAGAACTATGAGAGTGTATATGTTGGGGGAAAGATAACTAATTCTGTTGTTTGCTTATTTAGTTTACGTTTTTCATTGTATGGAATCAGTAGTTTTTCTCATTTTTTTCAATATATTACAAAAATTTGAGTGATAAAAATAAGCATTGCCAAGTTTTTGTTTAGTTGAAATTTAATATTCCTATAATAGCCTCAGAATACGTTTAGACCAGCTTGCAGCAGATTTGTATTAAAAATGGGTCAACGCAAAAATCATGTATCAATAAATTCTGCTTGTTTTAGTACTATACTTCTTTTTATCTTATTCTTTAGTGATTCTTGTTACTGCAGTTACGAAATCCTTGAATGTATTACAATAACGGGTAAACTTCGCAGCTAATTGTTTTACTTGAAAATATTTCGTACAATTAAAGATGTGATAACTCAACCGGTATTTTTTATTTGTTGAAAATTTTAGATGTATATTTTGTCGTGCAAGAAATAATGATTGCAAACAGTAATATTTCCTAAATTTATAGTTCAGAATATATATCTTGAGATTTATTAGTTTATTATTATACAGTTGTTTTCCTAAATATTAAAGTATGTTCTAAATAATGTTTTCAATGCCACACCAATTAGGCCATTTGTATATAAGAACACAAGACTAATGACGCAGTTCAAAATATCTTGTTTATCAGCTGGTGTATGAAAATGACTATAAAAACACAATGTCAAAAAGATAAAATCGTAATTACTTATTTGATTTATCTACTAAAACAGCATCCGTCTTGTAAACCGTTTTGTATATTTTTTTTTGCACCATTTACTGAAATGTCTAACAAGAATAATTTTCGATCTATGATGTGGTTATACTCGTGTCAGGTTGAGATATTTTAATACGATAATGTCGAACTTTGTTTATTTTTATCAAAAGTTTAAATTTGCGCGAGAGCTGCAAGATATAGCATAAAATATCACCACGATTTATTGATTGAATCAATGTTTAATGTCAATTAAATGCCTTACTTTGAAGAATATGATTGGATGTTTGAAATCATACTAGTATACTACTACTATAGGGAAATGAAAATTATAAATAAAATGCAACAGACTGTGTCTATTCTGGTGTGCTAAAAAGAAGAAATCTTAGATACCACTTACAATTATACTTTTTAATATTAATTTTTGCATCTTTGTCGGATGTTTTGCTTTTGCTTGATATTGATATGTCGCCTTTTATCAGAGAAATCACTATTGATGCTTTTGAAATCGAAATGAAAAAGAAGATAAAGTATATACTCTTAATGCTTATCACAAAGTGAAAGTGATAACGACGACCATGAATCGATTCACTTGCTAAGTTACCTATTTGATGTCGTTATCAGTTTTCTTATCAATGAAAAATGTTTATTTTCCTACCACCCGGGATGCAAGTTTGAGGCTTGGTAAACAAACTTCTGAAGTTGAAGCTTTAATATCAATACATTTCGCACTTTTCAAATACGTTCGAAATTTACAAGAAAATGGAATAATACAATATAAAACAAGGGAATACCACACAATGATCATCATTCCATCTTATATTGTATACGTGTAACAAACTTGACAATCACGAAATCTGGAAAGAAGAATTCTAAATTATATATACCAAGGTGAGTCATATTGTTGTGGTATTGTTTTTTGGTTTACCTTAATAATTTTTTTATTTATATATTATATGTAACCATCCCATGTTGGTACTTAAATGTGTTAAATAGTTTTTATTTTGTTTCAGATTTATTCAAAGTACAACATGATTGTGTCACCAACCAATGAATTCCCAGAATGCGCCCTAGGATACCAACGTCCTCCAAGCACCGACAGTGGGATCTCTACATCACCAGAACCAGCTACCGTATCACCATCTTCCAATTTTGATTTTCCGCTTTTGGTTAGTCCAATTCGACCAAACAAATATCAACTTCCAATTCAACCTGAACAGAATAATCTTGATTCAGAAGGTTATCCATTTCCATTGGCGGCATCGACGCCGGCACCGGCTTATCTTGCCAGAGGCAGAAGAGTTACAAATCAGAGATTTCATCCATATGGGCCACGACAAAATAAAGAAGATTCACAAAACTCCCAGCAGACTATTGTACAAACGAATTTACCTCAAACCGTGGAAGATATGACAAGTCAAAAAACCATCAAAATGCCTACGTCTGTCGAAAAGAGTCCTCAAGCTTCCAGCGATGTCAAACCGCCATATTCGTATATTGCGTTAATAGCAATGGCCATTGTACAGTCGCCACATCGACGATTGACTCTGGGAGAAATATGTGAATTCATTATGAAAAGATTTTCTTATTATCAGAAACGCTTTCCCGCTTGGCAAAATTCAATCCGACACAATCTATCACTTAACGATTGTTTTATAAAAGTTCCAAGACAAGCAGGTATGGGGAAAGGAAAGGGAAACTATTGGACAATTGACCCGGCAGCTGAAGATATGTTTGAAAACGGCTCTTTTTTAAGAAGAAGAAAACGTTTCAAGCGGGCTGAAAACAAACTTCAAGAATCCGTCTGGTCTGCAGCACAAATTGAAAATTCTATATATTGTTCTAACCCATCGCCTCATACAAATGCGATGCATTCACAGCAAATTCATGGCTACCAGCGCCAAAACTCTCCTTGTGTATCATTTCCCAGATTATCCCCATACAACCTGGGAACAACCAATAATGAATTTTATAATGCATATGATAACCAGAGGGCTTTTCAATTTGAAAACAAGCTTTCCGGCATTCAGCAACAATATTTATCGCCACACGAAATGCTTATAAGTCAAATGACTCCAAACGTAATGTATCAGCAAAACTACCCTGGATTGACTACGGCGCCAAAACCAGCAAGTAATCAACATCACAGTGCATTTTCTATCGAATCCATTCTTGGAAGTACCAATGAAACATACAATCAAGATTCCGCATCACATTATGCACATTTAGACCTTCAACAAAGGAATTACGCCCAATATATTAATCAACAGGGAACTGACCCAATATACCCAACCCCACAACTTGCATTAAATCCATATAAAATGTATTGAAATGTTACTTAATGTTAAGTATTTTCAACCAGAATGAATAAGTAATAGAATTTTATTGTATGCTGTTTCTAGAGTTCTAATGTGCTATACGTCCCCTTTCCATATATACAATGCGCATGACGACTTCGCAAAATGATCTACAGCATGTAAGTTTCATAAATAAGTTTAAATGTTTTAAAAATTTTGTAGGCTTTTTTATTTATATCAATATGTGCTTTTCAAACAATATTTTTCGTTGTTTTTTCTATATTTTTCTCATGTTTTTGATTTGAATTAAATTGCATCGTTCAATAAAATAATATATGATTAAAATAAGACTTTTTTAATGGATAGTCAGACAGCTAAAGTAAATATAAAAATGAGAATACGTTTATGCAAAGAACCCTATTTAGGTTTGGGGATGGATCGAAATAATATAATAATTGCCATCCTATTCATTCCACAATGGTGGTAAGAATGTGTATTGAGCACCGAGGCCTATAATCTCCGAAGTCAACATACAGTTTGATCCAACACTCTAATTAATGATTTAACGCGGCCCCTTTATTCATTACAACTAGAATTAAAATAGACTTTTAAATACAAATACAAACTCCACAGGTATACTTGAAAACCACTGGTAATTAACCAAACTGGCTCAAAATTGAAACAACGCAATGGACAGTGACATATCAAGAGTTGGAAAAACTATGCTGCAATAAAGTGGCAGCCCAGCGAAATAATATATAAATATTTTAAGATGAATATGGTCGCATATACGCACGTATATAATATGATCTCAAAAAGTTCATCTTCAATGCAAACCTATTAATACACGTAACCTTGAATTAGAGAGAAAATAAGAACGTCACTATTGTCACGTATCAAAATTTATCTTTCTCATAATTTCTGATTTCGTTGTACATTCAGATTGATGTATTGTGACATCTAGATAATTTATTAGTAGAATAAAATGACTCAGAAAATGATCGAATGACAAAAAATCGAAACCTTCGAAGGATTTCTAAAGTTTGTTCCCAAAATGTCAACACCAAACGTCTTTTGGAGCAAGCACGAATGATTATCTACGATACACACATGGTGATATATTTTTTGAAGTTATTTACCCGGTGTCAGGAATCAAAGAATTCATTGTAGTTTTATTTCAAACATTGAAGTTGGTCTTTTGAATTTATCAAATAAACTATTATCCTTATACCATCAAAGCTTCAATTGAAATGAGAACAATGTTATTCTATTTGTACAACAAGAGAAAAATTCATAGGAATGTACATTTATCTTAAGCTAATATTTTTGGATGAAATCTAACAATTACCTCCGCGTCCCTTTTGGAGAATTTAAATATGCTTAAGATAATTTCTTTGCAAGGGAGATCAAAATTTTGGCAATAAAATAAACCGTTTAAGAACAAACACGAAATTTACAACGCGGTATACAAGGAGTGTGCCAAATCTTTTAATATCTATATAGTCCCTCAAAGGAAATAAAATATATTGTACTCTATAACTTTGACTATAGAATGATGGCTATCGAGGACAATTTAGAACTATCAATCAAAACACAGCTCGACTTGGAAAGAGCGGCCTGCTTTGAGAATATACATTATCAGGTGTTTAATCTAAAGTAAACCTTGATTTTAAGCGAGTTGTACTTTCGTCAAAGACTCTTTTGTTATCCGTAAGCTCAGTAAAGACATATTTTTTGGTTTTCATAACGGGATGTAAATATTGTGGCATTTATCTGATGTTATTATTGAAATAATGATTATAAATCACATAGGCGGCTCATTTCAGTTTTCAGATTACATCTGGTCTCAATTCATGACTATTTAAGTGGTATTAACACCCCTCAAAGAAAGGATTTTGCACATGTATTGTCGTTATGTTATCGTAACTTACAATCTCTCTTCCCGCTTAAAATAACGGGAAATAGGAGTGGCCCAAAACTATTTATCATTATTGTGATAAAGAATTGCGTCAAAATGTGGAAAATATTAAAAAATATCGTTAAATTTAAATTTAAAATGATGTAAAATGGTTTTTGTGCTGTAGTCGGCATCAACAAATTTTCTTGTCTTTAAATGAAATATCAAGTCTGTTTCAAGATCTTTAACGAAGCAAAAGAATCTCGCAACATTCACTTTTAATAGGTACAAGAATAAGTTAAATAGATCTTAGAAATTTCAACCAAGAAGTCAAAGTATTGTATGCTTTACACTAATTTAAAATAAATATATAAATAATGCAAGTATTTGTCTAACTTGTATTTTGATAATATCAATGATATCTATATGGCGATCGTGATATCAACCGTGCTTGAATAAAAAATAAATTCGGTACTCCTAACCTGGTACACAATCTGAGTTCAGGTTGTGCGCCTTCTTGGTGCGCATACCTCAGGAGGTCCATAATTTCTCGTCATACTTTTAATTTGTATCTCTGTGATCGTATTTGATTAACGTACGTTGGCTCATTTTTTTTGCAAGAAACGTATCTAACAACAAGAAAGCAAGTTGAACTACTTGAAAAATGATTTTGTATTTTTGAATTTTCAAACGTTCCACGTATATATTACATTAGTGTGGGATAGACTCAGAAATCGATTACTGATCGAGCATGTTCCTTCGTTGAGACGAACTTGGGCATGTCGTGACCTCGCGTTGAAGAAATTGTAAAGATTTTAATTATGGATATTCTTGTTCAGTTTCCTTATGCTGAAGATGAATGAATGCATCGTGTGGTAACTTTGTGGATCGACGATTATCACTGACTTGAATTATATTTCAAGGTTCATCAATCCCATCACTTAAAATCATGTTACTTGTTTCCCACGACCTTTATATTTGAAAATACATCGTTTCTATTGCAATTCTAAAATTCTTGTATTTAGAATAGCGATGCACATGCTTCCAAAATGCTATTAAACATTTGTTGTTATATGCAATTGACCCCAAACGTGATAGCGCGTCTTTAAGGCGTCTTTCGCGTTTGCTTTGTCTGATATTAGAAGCGGAAAGATTAAGAGATGATAATGCGCATCATAACCGAGATGGTAGGTAGAATGAGAATATTTTTTCAAAATGTTGCACATGAGTGGCAACCACAATTGCATGAGAAGTGTTTGGATTTAATAACAACTCACAATCCATTTATTAAAAAAAATAATTAATTTTTGTAAGTTGTATGACAGGACTGCAACTGTCATTCACCAATCTGATCTGGCAGCTAAAACTACCAGAATCAATTACTAAACTTCCAGTTTCCAATACATATCTAATTTACTTACTATACGATATTATTGAATATATTTAATTTGTGAATTGTAAAAATTTATATCAAAAATACGTTGCTTAGTTAGATTTATAAAATCTGTTTTCAGTGGCAAAAGGATTGCTTGTCATTGGTAACATTTTTCAGTTAGCTCAACGTTTTTGCATGATTTAACAAAGAAACACAGATATATCACAAGGCGTTTAAGAATTGTAAAAATTTATATCAAAAATACGTTGCTTAGTTAGATTTATAAAATCTGTTTTCAGTGGCAAAAGGATTGCTTGTCATTGGTAACATTTTTCAGTTAGCTCAACGTTTTTGCATGATTTAACAAAGAAACACAGATATATCACAAGGCGTTTAAGAATGATCGAAATGTCTAATTCCAAACACCTGACCTCACTCAGTCGCTTTGTTTGTCCACAAACTAAACATACACCTTCAAATTCTCAGAATATTTTGGATGTATATATATATTTAATTTTGTCACTACGGTATTTTAACTGAATCATATTTCACAAAATATTTTGTTTGTCGTACTTCTTCAAGTATTCTATCGACGAGTTTAATATTTGTGTTTTTGATATTTATAAAATCTTATATCACAAGCTGCGTTACAAAAAAAGTAATTGAAATCGGTCCACCAAAATGTAGATTAGGAATGATATTATTCGTTTTTGAAAACTATCACTGACAATTAGACAAAAATGACATGCATTTCCACGGTTTACATGTCCCATGGCTAGAAAGTAAACCAGTAATGTCGTTAAACGTTTAATACTTTGCGACAAAAACAATAAACGATGCGTCATTTCGGGTAGCATGTTTTCTTCATGACGATTGTGCGAACCCAGGTGTGATTTTGTCCAAAATACGAGTGTGTAATAAAAATATTTTCTTTTCCCTGACGTCTGAAATCGAGCGAAACAAAGTTTTCTTAGTGATTGAGCGTGAAGTATCAAATTTGGATTATTCAGTCTGAAAGGAATTCGAGAAAATTAGTTAAAAGTTCACACGCCGAGATAAGCTTGTGCTATCTTTGTCCATCGATAAAAAACGGTTTCTCACAAAATGATTGTCTTTCCGTGTTTCCAACATTTAACTGAACTTCCCTTTGTTAGTAATAATTTACCTAGATTTTACAAAACTAATGCCTCGACATGCGTTTTCAATAAAGTTCGAAGGTCATCTTAACGTTTGTGTTTCCCGTTTACTGTTTGGTTAGTCATCGCGGCAATGACATTGAATTTGAAATTGTAGTACCGTGGAAGTGTCGTTTAGCATTAGATGTCAACTTTGATAACATCCTGACCAAGTTAGGCTGATTTTGTCATTGTTGTGTTTGCAACCGTAAAAGTATATCACCATTAGTCTTTAGACTTCCGCGTAAACCATGAGACACCAAAAAATATTAAGCACTGAATACACGTCACAAGTTTTTAAAAAATTGGATATGTATTCGGGTTCTTATCAATTATGGCTAATTTATTTAAAACAAAACTGAAAATTAAACAATGGGTAAAATGTTATTTTTTGCCCCAAACTTAATTAGATGGTTTACACGTGCAGCCACACTCTTTAGTAAAGAAATTAATTGAGTGACCAATACTGGATAAGCCATCACAAACAAAGTAGGTATCCATCAACCCTTTTCACCCAGGTGTGAGAAAGGGTCTCGAGTAACCGATGCTCTATTGACTTTCCCAGTCTCGACCTTTGCAAATTCGTTAAGGCCGGATCGGACTTATTTGCTTAACACTACCGTGTTGGCTGTTACGCTAAAATCGTATTAAAACGTTATTGCTATGGAAATGCCTAAAAGGGCATCAACGGTGTGACCTTAATCCGCGACCTCTCCACCTGTCGTTGACGGAACCCTACACCCACATCCAATCGTCCAGTGTTGACGGCCACTTAATCAGGGCGAAATGGTCACGGGACCCCATATCATGATATTCTTCTGGTTGACTCATTGGATTAACCAGTGAATACAAG